GGTGACAAAACGTTGAGCTTCTCTAGGTGTTCCATTAGCGAATCTGCTACTATGGACTCCATGACTTTGGACAGCACAGGAAGGAGGGTTACAGGGCGGTAGTTAACGGGATCGCTACGACAACCACTTTTATAAATAGGTGAAATTACTCCCGGCTTCCATGACGATGGGATTGTGGTGTAATCGAACATCCTCTGGAATAGGAAGGTTAGTGGCTCGGATATTTGATTCTCCTAGCAGATAAGGGTTCGGGGGTGAATATTATCTGCACCTGGCGATGCATTCTTTCTCAGAGCCAACAGCTTTGTTTTAACCTTTTCGGCAGTGAATGATACGGTGGTTAATGAAGGATGTTGAATTTGTTGCATCCATCGAGGGAGGGACATTCGTTCATTAGTTGACGCAGCGAAAACGTGGGCATACTGGTTCTTCATCATTTCAGCGGCTTCCATCGTATTGGCTGTGACTCTTCCAGAAGAACTGAGCACCGATATTCCATGTTTAACTTTTCGGGCTGAGTTAACATGTTTGTACAAAAGCTTGGGATTTGAAATAAATCTTTGTGCTAGAGATTCTCGATGGTTTAGTTTATCTTCGCTCACCAACTTGGTGCAGTGGTTTCGTAGCAGCCGGTATTTGTTCCAGGTGCATGCATTCGGAAGTCGTTTGTAATTTCTCCAAGCGAGGTCCCTCAGAAATATCCACCTCCACTTGTTTTCAATAGTCCTGGAGTTCATATTTAATTTGTCTAGTTTTGTTTCTATCCTTCGCAATGAACACTGAACTACTATATTTTTAATTTATTTCACGTACGTCATATATATATATATACCGGTGTTGACCAAATTCGTGCAACATCACTCTAATTTTGGAAATCCATTTCAGTTTGCAATATCATATTTATATATTGATGGCTAAGGGTAAAGTGTATTTATTCTTGAGTTCATCTCCAACATTTATATTCTCAATTCCTTTTCATCACCGTTTGAATTTGCGCGACCTTGAAAGTAGCGATAAAATTTGTAATTCGAAAGTTACGGTTCAGATTTGGAAAACATTTTTTTCAAAGCACCATAGAAATCCTTTCTTTCTATTGAATGCTTTGTGTTTCATTTGGGTGATTATTAAGTTGAACACAATTATTCTAAATTGCTCCTTTGATTCAGTGTATGATAAATAAGCCAATTATTGAAAATATTCTAGCTTAAATAAACTGGAACATTGATCGTCTACCAGCTACTCACATTAACTGAAAGAACTGGGAATATAATCCAAGAACCATACAAGTTGACCTTGAGGTGTGCGGCTCGTTGAATAAGCGTCTTGTAGTGTCACCGTACCAAAACCGTATGAAATATCCAAGAGATTTTGAGATATAATTAAAGCCGAGAGGCAATTTACTCGAGAGTCAAGTCAATCCGATGAATAAGTTCTTGACTAGTGCAAGTGCTTCGATATGAACAATATGTTGCACAATCAACGGAATGCATCGAGACATAAACCAAGAGGGAGAAAATCGGTCACATCAAAACAGGACGATAGTTGAATTTGATCGCAGCGGTGAAAGGTTGCACACAACCAATAGGAAGAATAGTCCAATCGGAGTAGCCGGTTTTTCCTCTTGCCACAGTTTGGGAAATGATGGCTCAATTTAAAATGCAACTGAGGTCACCTGATATAAGGCCACCATTGAACGCCCAACAAAGTAGTGCATTTATTGACTGTACCAACAGATTCACATCGCGTCGCCCGTCCATTTGGCAATGGGTTTATCTCATGGTGGTCAACGAGTAATTCAGGAGGCGGAGAAGTCTCATCTATTGAACTAGCTTCCCGATGAATTTTGTTTTGCCTGACAAAAGTGAATATCCATTCCGCTTATTGAGCTGAAAGAGAAGTACTGAGCGCCTTGCTGTTGATCTGATGTACATGCCGATCTGGATATCGCAAA